AAAACTGCTGCTGCCGTAGCATGGCATGCTGTTTTACAGTAAAAGTCTTTTTGTTGGTAGAAAAGAATAGTGTAGTAAATATGTAAACAAATAAGAGTCATTTATTATAGTTATCAAGAATTATGTAGTGTGTGTAATCACAGTACTGTGTTTTTATGTGACTAGCAGCACAGTAGTTTTCTTTCCATGAGCATCATCAGGTACATGTGAGAACACATTGTATTCCTATGACATCAGTAGGTGCAGGAAAGTTTTAACTCCCTTGTGGTGTTCTGGGACCACTGTCATGTGTGTGGTCTGTCATTGACCAGAACATTCTTAGGAGGTACAGGGCTGAATTTCAATCCAGAGTTGTCTTTGGTTTCTGAGGAGAAGTTGGGTATAAGTTTTACCTTTGCTCCTTTTAGGTGAGGTGTTTTATGCCTTTGTCTTTTGTTCAGTATTTTTTCTTTATCTTTGACGTTCTGCAGTTTGAGAAATATGTGTGTCGGGGTAGTGTTCTTGCATTCATCCTCTTAGATCTTCTCTGTTCTCCTAGCTCTGTGGGTTAGTTTCTGACGTTGATTTGAGAATATTACCATTATTGTTTTAAACATTTCATTATTTTTTCCCCTTCAGCAGCATTGTATGTATGTTACAGTTTTTGTAATTATCCCACAATCTTTGCTTTTTCCTTTTTTTTTTTTTTGTTCCCTGTTGTTTGTTTTAGGCTTCCCCCCCCCCCCCCTGTTTTCCAGTTTGGAGGATTTGGGGAATTTCTTTTGTGATATCTTGAAGTTAAGAGATCCTACTTTAGCCAATGATAGGCTCCTTCTGGAGTTTTTACCTCCTTTCTATACTTGTCCAGATGAAACTCCAGCAATTTGTTAACTGCAGCCAGGTTTCCCTATGTCAGCACTTGTGCTTGTGGGTTTCTGCTCAGACAAACCATGATTCTCTGTTCTCTAGTTAGTCTCCAGTTTTTGGGGAGCAGTTAGAATGTTAGCCCTCATTTCTCTGATAGATGTAAAAAAAGGGTTGTTAGTTTTTTTGGTTCCTTTAGTTTTTCACTTGTTTTACCTTCTTACATATTAGATTTCAGAGTGGAATTTTGAAATTCTGTTTTTTTTAAGTTATCATAAATTAGATATAAAGTTTATATGAAACGTAAGTGAATTTTGTGTATAGACTTGGGTCCCATCCTCAAGATATCTCATTATACATATGCAAACATTCCAAAATCTGAAAAAATGTGAAATCTCTTCAGATCTCAAGCAATTCACATAAGGGTTACTTAACCCTCAGTCTTCACCAAGGAATTTTGCATCTAGATCCATAAAGGATGTTGATTTGTAGTTCCTCAGAATACTTTTTGCTTTCTTCTAATCCATTCTTTATAGTGTGGCCAGGTGATCTTTTGTAAATTCAAGTTTGGACATATAAATAAATTTCTACAACTTGATAAAAACCTATACCAAACATGTCAAGTAATGAACTAACATTCTCGTTAAAGGCATTGACAAAATAAGGAAACTTGTTATCTTTGCTAATACTCTGTATTGGATTTGCAGTCCTAGCTAAAATAAAATGGTAAAAGAAGGAAGGGAAAATTTAAGTCATCATTGAAGCAGAACAGTGTAACTGCTTATATGTTTAGATAATGATTGATCATCCCTTAGAAAACTGAAGAGAACTGCTCATTAAACCTATTAACAGTTCATAAGTTTATCAGGAAAATGCCACAAAAATATCATAAACTTTTCATATACTTGTAATTTGTAATTAGAAAATGTAATTGAAATTGAGTTAAAAGCTTGCCGAAGAGCAACAAATAGCCTTCTAAAATATGTGAAAGAACTATACGAAAAAGCCTGTAAGTTCTTATTGACAAATCCAGGACACCAAGTTCTGGAGGGAAACAGTTAATAGGCAATAATAAGTTGATTCATCAAAGAACTAGCAGTCATTAAACTTAATTGATTTTAGTTTAGAAAATTGGTGAAACTTGTTATCAAATGCCACTATTTTCCCATGTGTTGTGAGAAACTTATAATATTCAATAAATGAATGATATCTAGTGATTCTCAGTAACATATTTTAGAAGGCCTCCTTTACTGTCCTGAAATGAAATATATAGATAATATGAACGGATCACACACATAATTTTAAAAAGTCCTCAGATATAATAATATAATAATCCCCAGATATAATAATGAAGAATAATAGAAGGTAATTTATAGTAAAATAGTCAATTTCATTATGTAAGTTTCCAAACTTGCTGGAATTAAGTATGGTACAGGCATTTTGATGGCACTTAACAGTTTAGTAATGATGTCAGCAGTAGCATATCCAGCACAAATTGTGGTAGAACGTTAGTGCTTATTTCACCAAAATGCTTGTACTAGAAGGGATACTGATAGGTACTTGTTGTAGCTTTATATGTTTCATTTGATCCTTATATAGTCACATGGTGTTTGGAGCTGTTAATATCTTAATAGTAAGAAACTGAGGATCAAAGAAGTGAAGTAACTTGCTATTAAGTAGCAAGTCTGGGATTTCAGCATCAGCAGTCAGACCTCAGAGTGGCATTCCTAGTCTCTTCCCTAAGAGCTGATATGAATTTGGTTACCTCTGAGGCACTGAGGCACTTGAGATTAGCTTTTTAAAAAATGTTTGGTGGTACTGGGGTTTGAACTCAGTGTTTTGAGCTTGCTAGGCGTTCTGCTGCTTGAGTCATGCTCTGGTAACTTTTGAGATAGGGTCTCAGTTTTTGCCTGGGCTGGTCTGGACCACTATCCTCCTGATCTCATCCTCCCAAGTAGCTAGGATTACAGGCTTGAGCCACTGCGCTAGGCTCAGATTAGCTTTAATTTAAAACTGTACTTATGAGCTGTACCCATCTGTATTCTCCCCTTGAAATTTTTTTAATGGTTTTGCCTCATTAAATATCTTCCCCTTTCACTTAATTTCTGAAGGCAGAATCCTGGCAGGTACTCCTAACACCTCCATCCAGCTTGATCAATCCAGTCATGACTAACACATTTTCAGTTTTACCTCTTGAATAGTTCTTCAGTCTTTTCACTTAGCTTTATTTCTGTTACGGCCATTGTCAAACCTGTTATCGCCTGACTGGACTACACAGAGCATGTGCCTGGAGTGTCTACCCTGTCAATTTCTGATATGATCTCCAAACATAGAAAGCACCCTGGGTTTATGTGTGTATGTGTGTTTATGTCTTCTTAAACTCCTTCAGTGGTTACTCCTTTTCTTAGGTTAAAGACCAGACCTTTAGCAGGCAGTGGTTTTAGCAATAAGGACATTATTTGGACTGTGCTGCCCTCTCCACTCTTGTTGACCACTCTTTTCCTGTAGCTGGGTCATGCTTTGTCCTGTGCAGGAATGGGATTATGACTGGTTTATGCTTTCTTCCATGTTTCCTCTGGCAGGACTTTAGCCCCTTCCTCACTCCCACTGTCACGCCTACTCATCTTTCTCATCTGCCTCCAACAGCACTGCCTGGGGAAGCTCTCTCTGATGATCATCCTTTGCCTCAGTCCATATCTGTTCTGGGTGCAAGTTACTATAGCACCATTCGGATTGTTGTGCCTTTTGGTAATCCTAATATTTGTCTTTCCCCCCTAGACCTGAGCTCCTTGAGGGCTAAGTACCTTGTTTGTATTCAGTATATTTGCATGAACACATCTAGTCTGAGCTACTTAATTTTCTTCATGAGGAAACTGAGCTTGAATGCTGTATCATAGTCTTTCATGTGTGCAGTTAGACTGCCACTTAAAAATTAAAGGTACTTACTTAACTTCTTCAGGTCCCAGTTTCCTTATCTATTAACTAGGGATGAAAAAAGTGGCTACCTCTTGGGTTGTGGTGATTACATGAGTTAATACACACAAGGTACTGGAGCACTGCATGACACATAGTGCAGTGCTCAGTTAGTGGCATTGTTGTCGTTAGTGTTGGCCTACCCAAGGCCATGCAGCTGTTAACAGAGCTCCTCGTAGATGCACTTCTGCATGCTTTTCTCCACACTGAGATCGTTTGGAATTCCTTCAGAGTTATTATTTTGTGAGGTGAAGTTATCATTGTACTTTGGTTAGAAAACAGGTTTATCTATTTTCTTGCACAGAGAAAATGTATGCATTTTGTTGTCTTTAGTTTAAGCCAGGTACAAATAAGGACCATACTCAGCCGAATGGAAGACATTTCTGATACACAGTGAAAATTTGTACTTACTGAGGGAACAAGAAGTCAAGTATAGGTTGTATAGAACTTAAATATCCAATTAAGGACTTTAAATTCAGACATTTGGAAATGAATTCTTTGTATAGAATTGTCTTTAAAAAATTGATCTGACTCCTGCAATCAGAATGGAAGGCTGGGTTTAGATGGTAGTATCTGAAAAATAGGGGAATTAAAATCGAGGCATGGTGGCACACGCCTGTAATCCCAGCACTCTAGAGGTTGAGGATCTCAAATTTGAGCCCAGCCTGGGCTAAATAATGAAATTTTATCACAAAAAATCCAATATGACAAGAAAAAATGGGGGAGTTAGAAGAGGGAGAACTGGGTTTTGTGGGGGAGATAGTGAGATTTTTTACAGATTGAGTTAAAGTTGCTTATAGCTCTTCCAGCTGGAAGTGCCCTCAGGTTAAATATCTGATGATTTAGTGATGTCACCTTTAGTAAAACATTGCAAATTATTTTGGTGGTGTTTGCAAAGAGATAAATTGAAGGGAGCATGATGTCATGAAATTTTTCCCTAAAAGTGAAGTGATGAATTTTAAGCTGTAGTTTGGTTTTTATCAATTTTATAACTACTATATTAAAAATGCTTGTCTTGAAAAGGAAGGTAAACATGAAAATAGCACAAAGCTGTTGCAGAGAATCTCAATGAGATAGTAAATTTGTAAGTCCCAAGGTAGCTACACAGTACTGGAGTCTTTGTTCTCTGAATACCTCACTAACGCAAGTGTGTGTTCTTTTCTTCCCCCCCTCCCCTTAACTAGGAATTGTGGTACTTGGAATAAACAGAGCTTATGGCAAAAATTCACTCAGTAAAAATCTTATAAAAATGGTGAGTGTAAAAGTTAAGCTGTTTGCTTCTAATATTAAGATGAAATGTTGACATCAATCTGAAAATGATTTTGTTTCTTTTTCCTCTTTCCCCTCCCTGTTATGGTTTAGTTATCAAAAGCTGTGGATGCTTTAAAATCAGATAAGAAAGTTCGGACCATAATAATCAGGAGTGAAGTTCCAGGAATATTCTGTGCTGGTATGTAAATGAATTTTATTTTGAAATTATACAGGAATAGCCATTCTCTGTTAAGATGTTTTGTGGTTTGAACTCTGTAACCAACAATTCCTCTGGTTTTTTTTTTTTTTTTTTTTTTTTTTTACAGTTTCTCAGGAAAAAAGTGTGCTTAGTCTGTAAACATTAGGAACTTTTGCAACATGTGGATTGTTTTGGAGATTGAAAAAGTACTTTGAGCCATTAAGGTATTTGTTCGTGGCAAATGAGCAATATGTATGAAATATCAGTTGTAAAGGAAAATTTAGGTCACCACCACAGCATTTTGCCCTGTACTTTTAGTTGCTCAAAAAAAAAAAAAAAGAGTTTGAGTGGCAATATCTGCCCTATCTAAAGTACTAAGTATAGACATTTGCTTTAAGAATGATGTTTTCAGTAGTACCCATGTGGGTTTGTGTCCTTGGGTTATACAGAATTTTGTACTGGTACTAATGGCATCCAAAGGCATTGCTAAATTCACATGTTTTTCTGTTTGTGCTATTTTGTGCTCAAAGCTAAGGATTAAATTATGTTGAGTTTTCCTTATTTTTCTGTATTTCTAAGCTATGATGTTGAATGAAATCTATTTCAACTAATAAAAAATGTAGGTGATCAAGATTTAAAAAAAGGTTAATGATAACATATAGTATCATTGATTTATCAAAAACCAAATATAAAAGTTTGTTTATTTTTTTTGCAGTGCTGGGGCTTGAACTCAGGGCTTTCACCTTGATCCACTCCACCAGCCCTTTTTTGTGAAGGGTTTTTTGAGATAGGGTCTCACACTATTTGCCCAGGCTGGCTTTGAACCATGATCCCCCTGATCTCTGCCTCCTGAGTAGCTAGGATTACGGGTGTGAGCCACTGGCGCCTGGCATTATAAAAGTTGATTGAAGCTAAAAAATATATATATATATTTTTTTTTTCAGTGAAATTATAAGTGGCTGGAGGTGGGACTCAAGTAGTAGAGCACCTGCCTAGCAAGTACAGAGCCCTGAGGTCAAACTCCTGTGTGAGGGGAATTGTAAGTGAGGTAATCCTTGAAGTAATCAAACATTCAGGGATCCACTTACAGTGCTTTATTCTTTAAACATGTATTTACTAAGTGCTTAGAATATTATAACTGGAACGATTCTGTGAGAACATAAGGAAATACTTGTAGACAGAATGTTTTTAGAGGAGTCTTTATTGCAGCTCATGTTCTTCACTGTACTCTGTCTTTTTAAGCTTCAATCTCTGTGACTTCCACCTTAAAACGTTGTAGAATTTTATGGTATTTAGGAACATGCAGTGCAAATGAATTTTATTTTGGCTTTGATAAGGTTCTTTTGCTTTCTTAAAATGTGATGTAACGTACCTAAAAGGATTAGTTTTTATTCTGGTTGGATAATCCAAGAATGTAAAATTAACTGTCCTCAAATTCTTAGGTTATGGTGTTATGCAGTACAGGCTTCTGTTTTTAATTTTGTCAGAGGTGCTAGTATCTGCCCTGTAAGGTTGTTAGAGGCTTCAGTGTGTGGAAAGCACAGTACACTTTGGTTGTCCCATGGGACCTCTGGAAGATTGGTTCTGTGTTCCAATAAACTTTAAATCATTTCCAAATTATTTGTAATACCCAATACAATGTACATGCTGTGTAAATGGTTGTACTATATTGTCTAGAGAATATTGACAAGAAAAACAATCCATACATGTTCAGTAGAAATAAAATTTTGTTCCCATTTATTTTGTATCTGTGGTTGTTTGAATCTGAGAATATGGAATCCATGGATGCAGAGAGCTGTGTTCAATAAATACAGCTGTGGTTCCTGTAAAGATTTTCTATATATTTGGTATTCTTTTTCTTAAACAACATGAAGAACTTACAGCAACAGAATTAGGATTCTTATGTCTGTAACTTTTAGGACCAAGTAAACATGGTTTTGAGGTGAATGGCTCTCATACCCTGAACTGGTGACTGAAGTTCCTCTAGGGGCTGTAGGCCCCTTATTAGGAAGCTGTGGAGTGTTTTAGGGTTTTTAAGTCAATTATATGACTCTTGGAGAAGTAATGGTAATCTTTTGAAGGTAGAATGACACTTTAAAGATAAGCATTGATGTTCATGTGAGCATTGTCTTTCACTGGCAATTTGTTTTATAATTATCTCATGTAATTATGAGTAGACTTTTTAAAATTTTACTGATTCCTTGGCTGCCCATTTGTTCTGCACCTCTACAGTAGTAGTAGCACTATGTGAAAAAGACTTTTGGTACATTTTGGAGTTGCCTCTAGTATGCCTCTTTTGGAGAATATTAATTACTCTTTTTTTAGTGGTACTTGGGTTTGAACTTAGGGCCTCATGCTTGCTGGGCAGGCAGTCTACCACTTGGCCACTCTGCAAGGCCTTGGGGGCTATTAAATAATGTACCAAATACTGTTTATCAAATTAACAAGTCAGCCCTTAATATGTTTTTCCAAGTTAATCTAATCTGTTGCCTTTGCTTCATGTGCTTTAAAATTTTTGCACAATCAGGTTAATCTTTCGTATTTTAACTTATAAGATTTTTTTTTACTGTATTCTGTCAAAAGTAAGTGTTTGAATTGCAGAAGAATTGGGACAAATGATTTGTTTTAATAATTCCAAATGTCTAATGGAGCCATTCAGATTTCTCTGAAGAGCTTTCTTTTCTTACGTGTATTTGAAATAGGCAGTCTGGTAGGTCTGTCTTTATTTGTACACATGAAATATAATTCCAGGTTAAAACAGTTTCTTTACTCAAGTTAAAAGAGTATTTAAACTTAGCATATATTAGTATGATCTTCTTAATTTTAATCATGCTACATTTATCAGTCATTATTGAAGAGTGTGATCTTTCACATAATGAACTCTTTAATTTCTATTCTGAAGTAAAAGTAATAGTCAAAAAGAATGTACCTATTTGATGAGTTTTTTACACCTGTACCTGCAAAAGTCATTCATTTTCCCTCTTCATGCTCCATCCCCATAAAGGTTTCTCTTTTCCAGATGTCTGTATTCCAGTGGTACCTTGTTCATTTCTAAAAACTTAGAAAGTTTAATAAATGGTTTTGCCTCAAATTTCTTGAGCATAGGAACTTCTCTTATTCTTTGAGAATCATCTGTATTCTCAGAACCACAGTAAAAGAAAAAAAAAAAAAAACCCAGGGACTCAGCTGAGATTAGCCAGTACTTTAATTCACCAGTGCCTTTTCAGGGAATGCCTTTTCTGGGACTGCCAGTATGTATCAAGGAGCTTCTCTAGTGGTCTCACACCACCCTGCTGTTCACTGATAGTGTTTCTGACTGCTGACTTTGCTTCACTTTCTGTATACCTTTCTCTCAAGTGCAAGGAAAACATAATTGTTCAGTTATCTGCACTATTAAAAACATTCCTATACTGTATTTGAGCTTGGGTCAAATGGTGTTTGACTTCCCATTTAAATCTGTTGTTTAGAATTGATAATTATATTTTGCTTACTTTTAATTTTTAATCAAATTTTACTTTAAAAATAGGTAGTAGATAAAAATATATGAAAAAGTGTGCAAAGAGAAATCTTGTTTTCACCCCTACTCCATTCATCCCTTAATAAAAATCATGCTTTAATCCTCTATCATGCTTTAATCTTTCTGTACCTCTACAAGCATGCAAATACATGCATTGGAATGTTAAGCAACTATTTAAAAGTGATTCTTATGAAAGCTGTATCACAGTGTGGAAAATACATGAGACTAGAGAGGGTTGCATATACGGTGTTATGCTTGTTACTACAGCTGTAGATTAGGGGTGATTGTTTTCTCCGTCTTGAAACTTTCTGAAATGATAACTATTTTATATTAATAAATTATATTAAGCAAATATATGAAGCAAATAATTCTGAAACAAGTATAAAGTGCAATTTTATTTTTTTCTGTTTTGGTAATTTAAATAGTGACATTAACTGAGTTTCTGAATTATTTTTAAAACACAGAGGGGAATAAGTTTAGACTAAACAAAGACCTTGTAGAGTAATACATGTGCAAAATCCCTGTGAAGAAAAGGATATGGTTAAAGGTGTATCTTAGCTGGGAGCACTTCTCTTACCTTCTAGGGCAGGGTTTTTTTTTTTTTGTTTTGTTTTTAAATATTGGAAATTGAACCCAGGGCCTTGCACATGCTAGGCAGGTGTGGTAGCACTGAGTTACATTGTGAGTCCTGGGCAAGGTTTTCTTTACTGTACCTAAAGTTTGAATCTAAAATCTAAAGAGAGTATGAGGTCTTCTTTTACATTCTTAAAATTTTATGCATTTACAGATCTTAGTGGCTGTCCAAATTAGGAATCACTGGTGTGTACTCTCTCTTGTAGGTTAGAACCCTGCTTCTGGGTTTGGCTTGTCTGTACTTGTTCTAGAATATTGAGAGACAGCCTTTTGTTCAGGAAAGTTGCATTGGCTGCATAGATTTATATATAAGAGACTGGCCTGAACACTGCCACTTATTTACCCTGCATACTCTAGAAATTGTTTATTATTCAGTTTCTAAAATTCTCTCTCTTTCTTTCTCTCCTACATACATATACAAAAGTTAAAGTAATTCTGCTATTTCAAAATATTTAAGATACTCAAAATTTTAATATATTACCTATAATGAAATTCTGGAAGTGTCCTTTTGGTTAGGCTATGTATTATATAGAAACGTGGTCACAGTCATCTGTTTATTTTTATTCAACTATTCTAATAAGTAGCAAAATGCTTATGCATTGGTTTTTATCGTAACATTTTAAGATGAAATTTTATGAGAAATTACTGAGATTGAGGAATTTTTTGTCTTTTAAATTCCTAAAATAGATGATAAGCAATTCTTGGTAATTGACTCCTGTATGTAGAATTCTAAATTAAATGTTTCACTGACTTATATCAGTGTGGGTTTTCTTTTTTCTTTCAAAAAGTAAAGGTCATTTTGCTTCTGCTTTTGAATTCTAGTAAATTGTGTTATGACTAAATACTTCTC